TGTGTGTGTGTGTGTGTGTGTGTGTGTGTGTGTGTGTGTGTGTGTGTAAAGTTTTGTGAATAATGAATCGATATCACATCCCTAGTTTCGTACAAAGAGATTGTCAAATAAGTCTCGCTGTTGGTCGTCGTTCAGTTGAAATAGTACATCTTGGAAGGGGGATGGAGAGATGGGGAGTGTGCGAGGATTAGGTTTCACCTTTTCTACATGTTTCGATACTGTCGTGTCCTATCTCGTGTTTACTAACCCTTCATATGTTGTGTGAGGTGGCAACTATCCATGTGAAGGTTAATTGACACACTATAAAACATAAGAGAAGCAAGCGGGCAATGCGACGTTTTTGTATAAGCTTTGCGATGATAAAGTAACAGTCTTTCACAACATTAGAGACATTAGAGATTCGCAGAAAAGATGGCCACACCAGGTCCGCATAGGACAGAATTTGACATGCCATTCACTTCAACCAGACCACAGGCTTGTACTTTCCCATTGGTTGAGATTTGGAGTATATTAAACTAAAAGAATCGTATTTTTGTGGGATACTGTGCCAAATCATACATAAGTGGACTCTGCGAAGTCTATATGCGCCCAAGTTTTAGGGCAGTATCGCATCCGAAAACAGAATCGCTTCAACTATTTGTCGATGATTTTGGATATTTTATCATGAAAGATTCTGCCTGTTTTTGAGTGCTGCACTTTTGACGTAGAGTATGATGGCGACGAACCGCTGAGTTCGTACATTAAAATATATATTTTCAAATGAGACGATGGAACAATCACGCAGAAATTGAAACTAATTTGAAAGTATAAGAGTCTAGCAAGGTCTTATGTAAAATCTGGCGGCCATTATCGGCAAAATGCTGGGCCCAGATCAACGATAAATCATAGTTAGTGAAACTAGAACATCAAAGGACAATAAAAAAATAGACACCGAGCTTATAGACCTGGTCGACTTCGACATGCATTTCTTCAGACTATTGTAGAAAAATATATTGTACTCGAGGATTTATTCATCAATTGCCATAGATTCACATCAAATGCTGGTCGATTTTTTTCTTGTGGCGGGAGTAGAGATAATATCAGCACGGGGATCTATACACCGAAACAAACACGCCGGTAATCGCACTGCTCAATCGGGACGCCTACTTGGTCTGTACTCTAAAATAGTTGTGCAAAGAGTACATATAAACAGGCTCGTATGGACAACAAATCAGCTCAGCTAGAAACACAAGGCGTCATTTCTGTACCGTTATCATTTATTGGTCCAGTTACTTTGTCTCTAGGAAGCTCACTATGATTACTTAGGCAGCCGGCACCTTTCTGGCCATACTGACTTTGATATTACTAATATTTGCTGTGGGATATGTCCACATTTAGATTTGGGTGACACATTTCAAGTATTATTTCATTCAAATGCGAATAATATTTTCAAGACCTTGTGTCTACGATGCGATCTCACTCCTTTGAGCCGAAGTACCGATGAAATCGGTAGTCGTTGTCCTCCCCGCTGTCAAGCATGAACTTAAAAACATGTAGAACTAGATTGGGAAAACGAGACCTGCAATAAACGACAGTATAGTGGACTCAGAGAATGAACAAAGTGCGGTAATGCGTTTGAGTACAGGATGCGTTGAACATTCAAAAACGTCGCAGATACTCACCTGAAGTATTCATAGTAGCCTATCGGGACCTTTCCGATAGCTACTTTCAGTTCAGGCGACAACTCTTGATAGTGGTTTTTCTGCAAAGGAGTCGATAGATACAAACGAGTCAGACGCAAATTCGTGAGCGATTCGCATAACTCTACAGAAAAAATATGCAGATACAGATACATTCAAATGAATACTCACAAACAACACGCTAAGTGGGCAAGGCTACGACAGAACAATTATCCAGTAACCAACCTTATTCCTCATAACCCTCATCAAGTCCCGCACGGAGTCTCCACGATACGTCCGAAATTTCCTTAGATCTGCAATGAGCAGGCGATCCAAACGCTTGTGCCAATCAGCTCCAACTGTACAGTCGTGATGATTCAGCCGAGTGGAATATTAGTTGTGCAAGAGAAGTATACTTTGCCGGAAACGACAAAAACATATTTGCGAATTTGGAGCGCCTCACCGAACAACTTACCAACAGTGTGGGCGTTAGTTTCGATATGCAACAGGGCTGGGTCTGCCTTGTCTACTTTCTCGAATCGATCACTGACATCGGAGAGGAACTGAAGGCAAGTGTCTGTATAATAAAGGAATATATTTGAGACAACCCTATACAGAACTAATAGTAAACTGACATTTCGAGCAGATATGGTAGTTGAGTGTAAAACCCACATTCAGTGTTTCATACCTGCATTCCAAAAGAAGGGATGTCTGAGCACCAGCTTTGCCGAAGGTCTTTCTGATGGGTTGAACTGCAGCATATTCTTCACAAGATCATAAATTTCATGATGCCCCTCTAGCACAAAAAGGTCCGGTTTATTGCTGCAAACAAGGAAATGCAAGATGAAAATCATTTGCGTCAGATTTAATACCATCTCCCATTTTTTATGATTACAGATCGATTTTTTTTCATAGAAAACTGTTGTAAGGCATGCAGAGTACGATCGATATATGTGAAACCGATCGACAAACATACTTTCTTATATTCATCTCTCTCTCGAATGGGCGGCCAAAGGGATGGCACCCTTCTGATACCAGGTAGAATAGCACGCATCCAGCTGCGAAGATGTCAACGGCACGTGTCATTCGGCCATGTATAAGAAACTCGGGCGCGATCCAACCTTGAGTTCCGCTGACCTAAGATAGAGATAGCACGCATGCTCCCATCAAATGTAGCTGCACTCACAAATCTGTATATGTATCATTTAGCCCGGCATAACAATGCAGGCGCCTCACGTCTACGAATAAGTTGGTTTAGAGCTGCTTAATTTTACAACCACGATACATATTGTACAATAGAATCGTAATATACTATACGTTAGATGACTGTTGATAGATTTCCATACATACGTACATTCGAAGTGATATACAAATAAGCAAACACGCCAAGAAGTACAAACAGTCTGAAATTTAAAGGCACATACTTGCGTAGCATAGGAGCTTTTGTCGTCCGGCAGCTTCTTGCATAGCCCAAAATCTGAGATTAGAATGCGATTCTGAGGGAAGAGACAAACAGATGAACAAATAGTCAGGAGATCGAATATCGAATACGGAAGAAAAAAATATTCTAACAAAAGCTAGATCAACTTTACAGCGGACCAAATCAGTGGTCTACACACCTCTGAGGAAACCAACACATTTCCCGGTTTGATATCGCGATGCACAATGTTCAGTGAGTGCAAATGCACCAGGCCATTCATCATGTCCTTCATTATGTCCTTGTTCGTAAGCCCTGTGTCGAATTTGCGACTCACGACGTCCGCCAATGAGCCCTTGCACAGTTCCAACGCTATATAAAGAAATTGAGTATCTTGCTCCTGGCATATATAAAAGTCGACGATGTTTTGTAAGCAAGCGGTTTCGAAACGAATTATCATTTCAAACATGAGCAAATGCCATTGTAAGGTTTCACGCAGAGTAATGCGATAGTAATCAACTGAGGCAGGATACATACCTTGCAAAAATAGCGAATGACATTCGCATGTGAATCTGATTGCTGAAGCAAATCGACCTCCATATTTGCCAATTCAAAATACTGTACGAACAGTGATTCGAGGTGAATAGTTTGTGTTTAGTAGCGTGTACGTTGCGGGTCGAGCGACTGGTAAATGGCAATCAAACTATAGTGAGAGAGGAACTCGGATTGCGCAGGGTCACAAATGTGTATAACTAATACAGTACATCGTTCAATACGCAGTGTATTCGAGAACACACAATGCACCGTAACTGCATGCGCGATTACCTCTGCCAGCAAGCGTTTAACGGCAACCGGCCTACGGTCAAAGAACCCAGTATATACCATTGTGCCCTGAGCGCCATGACCTAGAGGAAATGAATGGAATACACAGGAGATAAGGAGTATACATATATATAAAATTAAAAAAACTCGTTTAAATAATTGAAAATTTTATACTGATCTGCACGTGCATAGCGTGTCCTAAAATTAGCTCATGGACGTCTGATACAGTCAAGCAAGATACTATTAACGTAGCAACCAAATTTTACGCCTCATAGAAAATTGCTCAAACATAAACCTTTGTTATCTCTAAAATACACAATTGAGTTCATAAAACAACTATTGAGCGCCAACCAAAGAAACCTATAGGAACACCAACGATTGGGAAGCGGCAGCCGATGTCAATACATACCCAAGACTCCATTCGGATTCACCACTAAGTTTCCCACTCTATACGGCTCCTCTGAAGACGAAGTGTGCCGTCGTTGAATCGGGCCCTGTGGCATTGTTCCAAGCCGATCATGAGCATAGTACCATGGTGTTTAGTATTACCGAAGCTTACTGACGTTCGCAGTAATCTAGTAGGATGAGTGGTCGGCATCAAGCCAGCTTGTTTGAACTTGAGGGTTATAGCGCGTTACAATACATATATGAAACGAATATGTTAGAACAGATAGTTGTGGCCTACTTTACGAAGAGGCAATAAAACATTAAAACACATGGAACGGGGTCACTAAACGTCCGTATCTGTGACTTACCGATCGCTCCAAACTCTCCAACGTCACCGACGCAGCGGGGTGTAATGAATCAGGCTCAGCCAAGCTCTCCCAGTCGTCCGGCACAATATCCGTACTATCACCATCTGTTGCTTTAACTATATTTTGCGAGTTTTCTGTCTCTGGTAGCTTTTTGCCCTGTAGGCGTACTCCTTCCGCCCCATCCGCTACAGAGACCTCGCGCAACAATACACGACCTGCCGCATCGGTCACCAACAGTTGTTTGTCGATACCATTGCTCTCCCTACGCCCGATTTTCGTAGTTATACTGCCGACTGAACTTTCGTTGTATTTGTCGAGACTGACTTCAGGACTCCTGTCGTATTTCGACGAGCTGACACCAGGACTTCTGTCGTACTTGCTCATACTGGTCGACGGGCTCGTATCGTATTTGGAGAAGGAACTCTCCGCACTCGACGTGTAACCATTCGATTTGGAGATGTGGGATGGAATATCGTCTCCCGTGCTGGAAGTCCATGATGTGTCTGACAACGTCCGTTTCACTTGTGGCTTCTGCAATTTGACCGTGATTCATAAACATGCATAGTATAAATACGAAAATTAAGCGATATCTATCCAGATTAAATGTTACTTTGGAACGACGATGAGCCTTCAAAACCGGCAAACTGGCCGGCAGGAACGAATAGAAGCCGATCAAAGTAGATTCAACCGCCATGCATACGACAAAAGCAATTAATTCATGTATATCTTTTACCTTCATGATTTTACGCCATACTAGAAAGCCCGCCAATAGGGCTAGGAAGGTGCCAGTCATGGCAGACAGGGCGACTCCTACAAAAGCCAAGATAGGAACCTCGCTCACGACAGGACTGGGTATAGCAGATGGAGTTGGCACGGGCGTAGGACGTTGCGGTGATACAAACGCTGCATATGGAAGATAGTGAGCATAAAACCTGATTCAACCCCTGCGCTCTGTGATAGAATCTTGGTATCACCACACTTTGAATACTTCCAGAACAATGGGGAGGAAGAGAAATGCAGTACAGCATCTTGCTGTCATGTCAGTATAAACAGAATGCCCGCTTCGTGCAGCAGAGCAGAGCAGTACCCTTGCCAACTCAGACCTACGTACCATCATCGACGTTTCCTCCCAATACTTGATCATCGGTGGTTTCCGACTGAACTAGTGTAGAGGATTGCACACTTTCGATAGAGTGAGACCCAACAAGACAGGCGGGGAATGACGCACGTCCTGGCCGGCACCCGATTGGGACTAGGCCGGTTTGTTTCTCCTCCATCTGAATAGTGTATTTACCTGCAAAGCACGGGATCATGAACAACAAGGTTTATAAAAGAATGTAAAAATTCGGTAAGGAAGTAAACCACTCGAACAAAAGAAGTATACAGGAAGTACGAGACGAGAAACCGACGCAGGCGGCTGAGTCGCGTAAGTTACACATCCGCCCACCTGGTTTGCAACCAACTTCGCCGACTTGACAATCTGATTCCTGCAAACAGTGAAAATAGATCAGAAAGTAAGTTACAATATATAATGGTAAATGTTGATAAAAACTTGTTTGTTCATGTGTCATTAAACAAAATATACGAGTGGGCTGGCGAACTTACCTCAGCGACCAACGCCAGAAACTGAGCTTCTACTCCCCTTGGTAAACTGTATATGCTACCACGATATACGCCTACGGTGACATCACGAGTTAAGCCAACTTCAGACCCACCTGTTGGAGCAGCCGTTTCTTCGTTTATCTCCTCTTTTACCAGACTCCCTGGACATGGCACAATTTCGAAGACAGACTATTGTAAGGTCTAAGGCAAACGTCATCATAAATACGAGTTCAGCATACTGGATACATAAGGAAGTTGCGAGACTGAAGAGCCAAAACATACCATGTTGGGTTGTATATAAGGCGACTACCGGCTCTGGGTACTCGATGTACCAATGCTGACCGGTGCGGACATTGTTCACCTGCACTCGCCCGTCCCGCAGCGATGTATACCGGTAGACTGTACATGCCAAAAAGCAATTTAGTGCGAATGATAGGGACGTGACAAGCTTATTGATTTGGAATGTCTGAAATGTTCCCATACAATCTGTACAGTTTTAGTTAAACTTTTACTCTTGCAATCTTTTATGAATCGGGATACCGTACTGCCAGGACCTACCTGGGTTTTCGTTTTCTTCAGTCGTTACGGAGGTGTACTGGGAATATACAACACTCCACGTAGGCTGGCCCTGTCTGTCGAGCACGGTAACATCGTAATCTGAAGGCGAGGGAGCAATAATTACATCCAATAGGCAGATTTCAGGCTCTTTGTATGCATATCAGACTGTGTTTATGTTTGACCAGACACAGAAACACGCGCATACGCACAAACTTACACAGACAAC